ATAGATTCAAATATGACTATTTGAACCAACCAACAATGATAAGATGCTACCCAAAAGACACCATTCATATCTTCCCATTCATGAACAAACACAAAATTCAAATTTGGGCCAGAAAGAAATTCAAATTTGGGCCGGAAAGAAATTCAAATCTGAACCTATGCAAATTTTCAATTCCAATTGACAGAATTAAAATTTGGGTTAAGAAAGTAAGGATTCATTTAGGAAATAATCTTTCTCCAAAAAGATAAGGTTGAATTAAACCACACTCATACCCAAGTTCAAGCTGGTAAAGGCAAGAGGCGATGTGCGCGTGCTATCAGTCCCAAGCCTATCTAGGTCCTCTCCCGTCCACAAAAGTGGTGCCACTTGGGGCCACCCTAGAGCAAACTTGGAGTAAAAATGCTCATCAAATCTTTTTGCTCAACTAATGTGGGATTGGTGTGAAATCTGTCATTGCCCCAACTTCTTTTTCTACATTCCACAAGAGTCGCTTTGGAGCTTATTTTCTCATTCAACTCTTGTTCTATTTGAACATGTGAATATATTATGTTATTCTCCTAGTGTAATCGAACATGAACTCATGAAAATTAACTCAAAAACAATGAGTGGGTCTGACTTTAATATTAGACTCAAGGTCAACATAAAATCTATTGTTGTCCAACATCTCTCTCTTGAATCAGCAAGGATACAGACTAACTTATTCAGTTGAAGGATCAATTATAATTCCTATCCAACATATTCCTTTTAAGCGAATTGGATAAGTGGTTGGGAAGATTTTTTTTATTACACGTATACGAGCAAGGATGTTATACTCTCCCTAACAACCAAGCTCTTAAATTAGATGATGATTTGATATGATGTAATTAAAAATCATATGTTCGATCTCGTAATTATTTCAAGACTTGCATCTACTTGATCTGAATTCAATCCGAATTTAAATATGAGTAATCGTAGATAGCTTATTATTTTTATTGTTAATCCTAGCCCAAATTCTAGTCAGTTATATCATATTTCACAGATTTAGATTAATTTGAATATCTCATCCAATCCGATCCAATGGTGCCCTGATCCAAATTATATGAAAAATATGTGATAAAATTAAGTGCTAGATAAAATGTGGTTGAAATTCAAGTCAACTTAATCTAATTGTTCAGATAAAGTCAGGTTTTCAAATTGAATTCTCAATTTGTAACTTTCTCAATTCGATAATCCGTTCAATATTTGGATTGTATTTTTTTAAATAGGACTCAAATTCACATCAAACAAAGTCTGATGCAAATTCGGCATGTTGCCTGCATGTAAATACTTACATTATTACTCTTTAATAACTTAAGTTTTTTTAAAGATATAGGTGTAGTTTAATGTTATCAGAGCTAGATGTTTCATACATTTTCAAGTTGTTTACATTTTTAGATGTGGTTGAGTTTAACTATAATACCATTTAAAGTATGAAATTTTTGAACTCTTATGCTCTTTTTAGTACGATGAAAAAATAGAAGGACGGAAAGTTGGAAGGATGAAAAGTTGGAGCAATAGATAAAATATTATATTTTGTAAGGAANAAAAAGTTGAAGCAATAGATAAAATATCATATTTTGTAAGGAAGAAAAATAGAAAGGATGAAAAAGTGAATGGATAAACTTTCTTTCCAACTCACCAAAATCAATCATTCTAAAATTAGAAGGAAAGTGGATGAAAAGTTAATTATTTAAGTTAAAATGTATCTTATTTATCTACTAATCATAACCCGTGCCTGAAAGCACGATAAAATATAAGATTCTAACGTTCAAAAAATTAATCTCACTATACCAAATTTAAAATTAATTTCTTTATTTACATCATTTAAAATTAATTTTTGCCAATTATTTTCTTAAAAATAGCTTCAAAAATTTCTCAAAATAATTCAATTAAATTTTTTTAACATGTATACACTATCGTGTATGAATAATGTATGAAATAAAAATAATGTTAAATTACAAAATAACTAAATATTAAGTAATTGAACATGTAATAGAATTGAATGATATGATATTTTTTAGGGGAAAATTTTATAGGGGATAAAGATTTAACTTGCTAACTGATTTATTATAAAGATATATCATTTGATATATACATATATTATGTATACATTAATTTCATATATAAATATAATAATAAAATATGTATTTATACTTTTTTATAAAAAAATTAAAAATTAAAAAATATTTTTTTCCATCTTACCAAGCATAAAAATAAAATTAATCATTTTTATTTTTCATCCATCCTACCAAATACAAAAAAAAAATGTATTTCTTCTACTTTTTATCTTTCCTACCAAACAGGGTATTAATCTTTTGTTATGTCTCCAATTATATCTGATTTGCTAATTAAATGTCGAATCAAGAAGGAGTGGGTGACCCGATCATGCTGCTTTGATGTATAATTGAAGATTAAATTTGACAAAGTGACACAATATGGTGTTTAGTCCTTTCCTTGTAGAAATTGCAGCTTTAGACCGTTCTAGCATCATCTGCGGATTCAGATTTTTTCTAACTTTTTCTTGTTGAATCACTTTAAGTATGTATTAATAAGATATTCACTTATACAATTGTTGGGTTCTTTTTAAATTTATTGCAAGTGATTGCTAAAAAAAGTAAAAAAGAAAGATATATTCGGACCAATTTCACTCTATTTTATGGTACTGAGTTTGCTTTAGTACTTGTTCAAAAAAAAAAGTTTGCTTTAGTAGATTCAATAGTAACTCAAATGCTTAACGCATTTTTCTTAAAAACACAGTGCCCCTGGGTTAATGATGTCTCATGTTATCATTGATTCTTATTTGAATACAACTTTTAGATTGATTTGTAATCTTAATGATTATGTATTGACAACATGTGGGTTCAATTTTCAACATGTGCAACCTGTCGATGGATGATCGTCAAGCGCATGATAATCGCCCACCCTATCATTCAAACCTTCCATAATAATAATGCAAAGGCTACTAAAACATTCTCGTGCATTCAAATTTTATGTTGATAATAAATCCAAAAAAAGTGTGTTTGAAACGATTTGACATTCAAAAAAATAAAAAGAGCAATTCCTTTTGTCCGAGGGTTGGTGTCATAGGTGGATCATCTAAGAAAGGGAGAGGGGCCCTAACCATATATTTTATTAAGCCCACCATATTATTTTCTTGCATTAATGGTATTTTTCTTTAAATGAGTTATGATTGGGGAGTAATTACATTTTAAGTCCCATTTATTGTGTTAAGACCTTGTGCAATTTATCACAATTTATATATTTAACAAACTCAGATTCAGATCAGGCCTGGGCCTAGTCCATGGGTTAAACCCAAATTATCAAAGACAGGTCATGCTTAATTCATAGTTTCGGTCCAATCCAAAGCTCAAGAGTCCAAGAAGAGTCAACGCATGTGCGAGAGCAATTATCGGGATAGTCATTACTCCAAGATAGTGTTTATCCCCAATTGTAGCTATCCTCTTCAATAAATTAGTGGTTTGACCTTCACGTCATCGCCTCAATTAGAGCTCTGTACCTATAAATTATAAACTCTCTTACGCATGGGGGCAAATCTCTCACATACCTCACATTGAGTGTACTCTATCTGTCTCTTTCTCTCTCTCTTACTACCTTGCACTTTCTCATTGATAGAGTTCTCTGACCACTATTGTCGCCTTAAGTGGTTAGGTCACTCAGACCCAACCACAAAATCTGTATCTATTGTTATTAATTCTTTCATTAATTACTTTACACTACACACTCAACTGATTCGATCGTGCATAATCAACTTTGTGCATCATTAATATTTATGAGTTTTTATTTTATATTTTTAATTTGAAAGTAAAATTGTTAAAAATTACCTGGAAATTGACCTATGTTTCTCCTTGACTGTTCATCTCTATTTTTCTATGAATTTTTATTGTTGTGATGTGTCTAAATATAATTCTAATGGTACTACACTGGTTATTTCTTAAATTTTTGTTTATTGACTTTACTATTTCATTGCCAAGGGAAGAAACCCCTATATAAATAAGTTTTTGGCTTTTGTGCTTAACAAATTTTTATGTATAAAATATAGCGTGAAAAAAATAAACCTATTGGTTTTACTTTCATCTTGATGATGCATAAAACAGGTTATGCACAATCAAATTAGTCGAGTGTATGACGCAAGGTAATTAATGGAGTAATTAACAGAAAAAGATAAAGATTGGGTGGTTGGACCTAAGTGACCTAACCACTGAAGACGGTGATGGTGGCCGAAGAACTTTATTAATGAGAGAATAAAGTAGTAAGTGAAGGAGAGAAAGAGAGAGCATGAGTAAGCTCAAGGCTCGGAGGGTGTTACCCCATGTGTAGGAGGCTTATAATTTGTAGGCACAGAGCCCTAATTGAAACAGTGACGTGAAGGTCAAGCTACTAGTCTTCTGGAGATGATAGATACAATTAAAGATAAGCTCTATCTTGGAGGAGTGGTTATCCCGATGATTATTCCCCCACGTACGTTGACCTTCTTGGGTCTCTTAAACTTTGTATTGGGCAGAGGCCATGAGTTGAGCTTGACCTGCCTTTTTTGGCTAATTGGGCTTAACCCAAGAATTGGGCCTAAACCAACTACATTTGAGCTCATCATTTGCCCATGCCCCCAAGCTCTTATGTGATTGGAGGTTGAGGGCATGAGTGAGCTTCCTCATTTGGGTGTTCCAGGTATCTTGCTCCACCCAACTTTCCTTACACTTCCTTGAACTTATTTCCTTATTCAGCATTTCTTGACACCCATTGTGCTCGACAACCTTCCCCTTTTCTGGGTCTCCTATTTGGTTGGAAGAAAAACCCTTTTTTGCATTTAGTTCAAAATCCCTATGGTTTTAGACGTCACTATATATAACCTGAGTCACTCCATTCCACCTTTTCACTCAAAAATCTTTCTCTTGAGAGTTGAAAGTTTCCTTAACCCTCTTCATTCCATCAACGATTGGGAGAGGTCAAAGAAAAAGAGCTCCATGGATGATACCTTGGGAAAAACCATAATAAGGTCAAGGAAGAAGAAAGGCAAAACCCAAGGCGATGGAGGCAGCATGGGCATGGAGGGTGACACCAGTGAAGCGAGCAAGGCAATGGGCAAGAAAGCAATGGGCATGGGGGACGCTAGGCATGGTGGTGCTGGGCACCGGCGACGTTGAAGCAAGCTAGCACTAAAAAGGGCGACGCTGGAGTGGGTTAGGCAGCACCGGTCATGGACGATGCCGGAGTAGTCGCATGCGACACCGGGGACGCATATGCAGGCAATGCTAGAATGGTGCCGAGTGTTGGTGCTGGTGCTGGCAATGCTGGGCGACGATTCCAGTATGTTGCATAGTGAAGGTAGTGTCCTGGGCTTTGGTTAGGAGGGAGAGTGCCATGCTTTTCGATTGTTTAAGGTGATTCTACTCACTAATTTACTCCTTATTTATCACGATATTTACTTGACATTGGCTTTGACTTTGGCAGGCGCCCATTTTAACGAAGGCATGATGAGGAACAACATAATGAATTCCTCTCGAGGCAAGGGTACCGCTAACAATGACGGTTTGAAGGTAACCTGTATCTTCAATTCCATAGATTGTGACGATGACATTGCCCACATTGTATCTTCATAACATATCCTTCCTACCGCTATGTGTCATCAGGCCAAGAAGGACGAGTCGGCCTATTGTGATTCCTCAGGAGATATCATTTTCTATGAGGATATCTTAGAGGCAAGATTGAGGTTCCCTATGCCTAGACCCATTTTTCAGATTCTAGGTCACTTATTGCTCATTGCTCACTTTGGGGAGGTTGACCCCAACAGTTGGAAGGTACTTTTGGCTTTCTTCTCATTATGGAGTTTGGTTCATGGCGAGGGTGTCTCTCCCCCTTTCAAGGAGTTTTTGGCTTTGTATGTGTTTTTCGATAATCCTACTCCTCATCAAGGATGGTACCGCTTTGCTCCAAGGTCGGGCAAGTTAATTACTGGATTACCTTTGAATTGCCACAGTTGAAAATCTAGGATTTTCTTCATTGGAGGTTAGTGGGTTGCTGAGGAGGACCATGACTTAGTGCCCTCGAGTTGGGATACTCTTCCGATGGCCAAGATAGGTATGAGTTTTTCCCTCGCTTTCACACCTGAATGTCATATCCCTCTCATACTTAGTGCATGTTTGGTTCTTCTACAACTTCACCCGTATTATCTATAGAGTAAGAGAGTGGGCTCCAGATTGTGAGGGATCATCCTACCAAGCAATTTGCAGCCCTTATGTCTGTGTCAGATCATTCCAGAGCTTCCTATAGATAGGAGAGGAAATGCATTTGATCCTTTCAATAAATTTGATGATTGTAAATTCTTCTTCTTATGTCAGTTCCATTGGTACTACTATTGGGTAGAGCGATGATGGAGGCTCTTATGCTTCTAGGGTGGTGTCTTCCCCTCCTGCCAAGAGGGCAAAGGGTGACGTGCGTACTGCTTCTCGTCCAAGGTCCGACAATTATGTTATTTCTTGAAAGGTGAGATGTGGTGGTGCCCTCACTTCTTCTCAACATGCAGCTCCTTTGGGTGCTAGGGCTAGCCCTAGTACTGCTTTAGGAGTTGAGACTCCCGTGCAGTCCTCTAGAGCATCTGGAGCTCTACGTAAATGTCCTGCTTCTAGTAGGGGTTCGACATCCATGCTACAGGACGTGAATCTAACCAAGGAGCGACTTTGAAACTTTGTGATAGCTGCGGATATTCCAAAGGTCGGCTCTCGAGGTCCAAAGGGGCATTATAGATATCGCGATGGAGGGATTCATTATGGTATTCTTTCTTTCCATTCAACCTTGATTTCTGCACTTGCCCCCTTTTTTATGTTCTACCTTTTGGATGGTTGTAGGTGACTACTGTCTTTCCTTGCCTTTTTTCAAAGACGATCAAACTTGGTGAGGCATCAAGAGCTTTGGCAGAAAAGAGACAGGCTTGAGAGGCTGTTGAGGAGAAGTTGATGTTGGCTCATAAGAGAGTTGTACCTCTTGAGGCCGAGCTTTCGTGGTCACACAAAAGGGCCTCCAAGCTGGAGGCACATGAGAGCAGAGTCAGAGTTACAAGAATCCCGCGAGAGGGCTGCAGGAGCTAAAGTTGTGCTACAAATGGCTCAGGAGAGGGCTGACGTGGAAGAGGATGACCTACGAGTAGCTCATGAGAGAGCCACCAGGGCAAAGGCTCATTCCATTGAGATAGAGAGGATGAGGGAGGCTGTTGAGAGGGCCATTGCAGGTGCTTTTTATTGACAGCCATGAGAACTTCAGGGGGAAGGTCTCATCAGCTTTCTCTGCTATTGATTTCTCTGGCTTCATCCCATATGTGGCACTAGGGACAGATTGTGATGGGGAGAGCTTTGATGAGAGTGGATCAGTGAGCAGTGAATGATGTCAAGAGTACAACAACTTTTATCTTTACTTGTCTAGCTTTTTGTTGTTAGGCCATGTTATGACTTTTTAAGTTGTTTACAAACTTCTATGGAATGAAAGATAGTTCTAGACAAAATTACTCTTGCAAAGTTTTATTTCATAATTTAAAGTAATAGATAACAAAATAAATTAACTGAACCAACAAAAGACAAATAAAATAAGAGTCACTGGCTTGTACACCACTATTGATGATACATCTTTAGGTGTTCGGCGTTCCATGGATGGGCCAAGGCTTTTCATTTAGAGTTCTGAATTTTGTAGATGTTTGGTCTTACAACTTCTGTCACCATATAAGGTTCTTCCCAATTGGGATCTAACTTCCCTTCTCAAGAGTCTTTAGTAGATAGGATTACTTTTTTGAGGACTAGGTCCCTAGGCAAGGAGTCAAGCTTTACTTTCAATTTGTAGTACTTGGTCATGTGGCGCTTGTACTCTGCATTACTAAACATAACCATTTCCCTTTCCTACTCAACCAAGTCGAGGCTGATGCAGAGACCTTCTTCATTAGTGGTTGGGTTATGGTATTAGACTCTCAAGGAGTGTACCCTGATCTCGACCAGTATAATCGCCTCTGTTCCATAGGCTAAGGAGAATGGGGTCTCACCCACAGGGTTCCTTGGCATTGTCTGGTAGGCTCATAGTACTCTTTGGGAGCTCGTCTACACATCATTCTTTTATGCTTTCCAACCTGGTCTTCAGGTTACAGAGGATTGTTCTGATAGTGATTTCCACTTGCCCGTTCACCTATGGATGAGCTAGGCTAGAGTGGGGTTGTTTGATCTGTAGGTCCGCGCCGAAGCTATTAAGGAGTTTGTTGTCAAACTGCTTAGCATTGTCACTTACTATTGCACGGGGGTACTCCAAAATGACATATTGTGCTCTTCTAGATGAAGTCTTTCACTTTCTGGTCCGTTATTCTAGCCAATGACTCAGCTTCTGCCCACTTTGTAAAGTAGTCGATGGCTACTGCCACAAATTTTCTTTGGCCCTAGCTCATGGGTGGGGGGTCTAAGATGTCAATCCCCCACTTAGAGAAAAGCCAAGGGCTTATGATGGTGGTGAGTTCTTCTGGTAGTTGCTTTGACACTGTCGTGAAACGTTGGCACTTGTCACACTTTTTTATGAATTCACGGGCGTCTTTAATCATGCTAGACAAGTAGTAGCCTTGCCTCACCACCATGTGAGCCAATGCATGCCCTCCAAAATGGTTTCCACATATTCCCTCGTGGTCTTTTCTCATTGCATAATTGGACTCCCATATAGAGAGGCAACTGAATAGGAACAGTGAGTAGCTTCTCTTGTAAATGGTGTCACGCAAGATGACTTACCTAGACACTCTCAACCTCAACTTCTTGGCTTCCACTAGATTCTCTATGAGAGCACCTCTTTCGAGATAGGCTCAGATATGTGTCATCTAGTTGGCCTCCGAGGATGCACAGTTAACGTTGTCCTTCTCTGTTTTGAGTCTGTTTGGCTCAAACTGGTGACCTATGAGTGTGGGGGCCGTTAGAATGTTTACAAATGAAAACTTGGCAAACATATTTGGCATGGTGTTATCTTCTCTGGGCACATGCTGAATTTGAAAGTGGTTGAACTTTTTCAGCAACGCTTGGATCATTGACAAGTATTCTTGCATCCTTCCCTCCTTTGTTTCAAAGTCTCCCTTTACCTGGTTGAATATTAGCTAGGAATCGCTATAAATTGTGGGACAAAGGGCCTCCATCTCAATTGGAAGCTTCAAGCCTGATATGAGGGTCTCATATTCTACCTGATTGTTTGATGCCACAAAATGGACGGATATGACATATTTGAGTGGAGTTTCATGGGGACTGATAAGCACCAGCCCTACTCCACTGCCCTTACTAGTAGATGATCCATCCACGTATCACTTACCACTATGTCAGTGGGAGACGCCCCCTTTAGCGTGGCGGTGCACTCAAGCAAGAGGGCGGTAGGCTGAGGTAGGGACGATGAGAGTGTTGAAGCTACTGGAGGAGTAAATACAAGGGAACTATGCATCTTTGGCCTAGGAGCCTAGACTCCAGGAGCCTGAGAGGCTGGCTTCATGGCTCCAGGCTCTCTAGGGGTGGCACCTGAGCTTACTTCATAGGGAGTTGACGCGCTATGTATTAGGCAGGTGAGCGTAGGGGCATAGGGCACTTCTTCTAGGGAATCTCCCTCCTCTAGTGGTGTAGATTCGACCACAAAATTCTCAATTACTTGCACTTTTTATGGCCGCCCTCAGCTGGTGTTACACATCGAACTCACTCAACTCGACGGCCCATTTGAGGAGTTGCCAAGACACATCTAGCATTCCCAAGATCCAACTAAGTGGTTGATTTGTGATAACCACAATGGTGTGGCTCTAAAAACAGTGGTGTAGGCGTCAAGCCATGGTGACTAGTGTGAGGGTCAACTTCTCCAATTCAGAGCATCTTATCTCTGCTCGTCAGTATGCCCTGCTTACATAATAAATAGGCCTTTAGACTCCTCCTTCCTTCCTAACTTGGACGGAGGTCACGGTAAAGGACGAGGAGGAGAAGTAGAGATATAAGGTTTCTCCTGGTATGACATGAGAAAGTAAGGGTATAATGAGATAGGCCTTTAAATTTTAGGAAGCTTTCTTTGCATCTAATCCCCACTTAAAATACTTGTGAAGAATTTTAAAGAAAGGTAAACACTTATCTGCTAATTTTGAGACAAACCTGCTGAGGGCTCCTATCCTTTCGTTAAGGCAATGGACCTCCTTCACAGAAGTTGGGGATCTCATCTCCATGATAGCTTTGATCTTTTCTAGATTAGCCTCAATGCCCCTTTTTTTAACCATGAAGCCCAAAAATTTTCCTGAGCTAACACTGAAGCCACACTTTTCAGGATTTAGCTTCATCCGGTGGATTCTCA